CATGGCTTACTCCTAACGTCCAAGATTGGATTTTTATAACTCTATTCCACAAAATACACTGAAAAGGGGTAGATCAAGGTCTCTGGAGCTCATTATCTCATAAAGTCTCCATCTTTTGGGACAAAACCCTAAAATACTCCATATAAATGCACAAATCAAAATAGTGAGAAAGCTTGAAGCTTTATACCTCTATGTGAAGCTTTCCACACTGCTAAGCTCAGATCCAAAAGCCTGGACTCTCACCCTTCTTCTCCAAAGCTCCTTCTCCTCTTCAAGAACACAAGATTATGCTCACAAGCTCTCCAATGCACTCTCAAGCTAAGAGAACGGATATTTAGGGTTAGGAGGGTTTGGTGTCTGGGATTGGTGGCCAAGAATGAGGCCATCACTTCCTTTATATAGGGCCACACCCCAAATTAGGGTTTTCATTATGGGCCTAGTACGCCCAGCGTACTAGGTGGCCTCCGCGTCCAATGCACGCACATGAGTACGCTGAGCGAACACTACAGTACGCCTCGCGTACCCATTTACCACTTTTCTCTACACAAAGGGCCAAATGGACAAATGCTCAATAGATTAGGGTTCACAACGTATACCTGGACTTGGGGTGTTACAGCTACGTACGCCCAACGTACCAAATATACGCCCAACGTACGCACCCCACTTCCAAAAATTACCAAAATGCCACTAATGGCCCAAAATGCAATTAATTCTCATACTTAGGGTTAAAAATGGAAATACCTCAATATCTAGATGTTACATTGACGATTAGGCGACACCACCTATAGTAGATGAAATATGAATATCATCGTGATGAGTAAGGAAGAAAGAAAGAAGTACATTAGGTGGGAGAGGCGATGTGAGAAGCTTCAAGAAGAAAGAAATATGATTGGCAGCCTGGTATAAAGAAACGTTGGTTAAGTTAAAATAATCTGATGAACTAAGTTAGTTACTGTTCATAAGGATGTTGTGATGTTATTAGTATATCAATGTGATATCATTTGAGCATTTCATTAAACACTAATTGTGTTAGTAAAAGATGATTTTTTTAAAGGATCAATTAGGAACTTAAGATTTGATAGATGTATACGAAGTTATCGAGACCACAAAGTGTTTAGCAAGATGATGACAATTGTTACTCAACAATGGCTAAGGCTATGTTTGGCGCGCCACAACTAGCTGATAACCTAGATTATTTTTCGAGTTTTTTTTAATTGTCGTGTTTGTCAAGCCAAAAGTATCTTAAAAGCTAACTTTTTAAAAAGCTACTTGGACTAGCTTTTCAATAACTTTTAAAAAAAATCTAAACTTACCCTTAGTTAATTATAAACATCATATTTTTCTAAATGACCTTTTATGTCATTTTATATCTTTCAGCTAGCTTATTAGCTAATTTTTACTAAACTCCATTGTTTATCAGCTAGAAACTAACTTTTTAGCTATTGGCTATCTTTTTAGCTAGTACGTCAATCATAGTCTAAGGCTCGTGATTCATTTGCAAACTTGCAATTCATAACAGGTGATTAGTATCAAATAGATGTTTGAAAAGTAACTTATCAAATAAAAATCAATAACTGTAAAACTTGTCATGATTTATAATTGCAAACTTGCGATTCACAATGGGTAATCAGTGCGAGATATATGTTTGTAATTTGATGAAAATAAATAATCACAAAAAACTATTTTGACAAAGAAGAAGCAAGGGCCAAGGATGGGTAGGTTGGGTAATTTATCCTCATATAGATGAAAGGAATGAGAAAAACAAGGGTACCGCCAAGAATCCAAAACAAGAGTTTTTGAAGGAATCGCATTTCATGTCTCTACTCGATTAGGAAAGAAATAAATGATTGAAACCAAAAGATTGTAACATCCCGAAATTTTCAACAATTTTAAACTTTTCAAAATGATCCTTTTATTAATAAAATGTTTACAAAATAGTGTTCTCAAAACATTATTTGATAATCAGTGCCTCCCAAGATCAATGACATAAATTCAGGTCACGCCTTCGCCTTGCCACGAATCTCTGAAACACATGAAACCATAAACCAAAAACTGTAAGCACAAAGCTTAGTGAGTTTCTCCCAAAGTACCAACACACAACAGATACATATACAACAAACATCATGCATACAGGACCTTTAGCATAACTGGAACGCCCCACCGGCCTACAGTCCATATGGTACGCCCACAAAGCCTTCAGTCTAATTGGAACACCCCACCGGTCTACAGTCTATCTGGTACGCTCACAGAACCTTCAGCATGACTGGTACGCCTCACCGGGCCTTCAGCCTATCTGGAACGTTCTTCGGGCCTTCAGCCTGACTGGTACACCCTACTGGCCTTCAGTCTATTCGGGACGCCTTGGGTCTGTTGGCCTTCAGCACTAAGCAGGACCGCCTCAACCCAACCATACACACAAGCCATGTCGACATATACATAACAGATAAGCATATAACATACTGATATAAATATTATCGGGTTTGTTGACTGGAAGCACAAAGCAGTACAGTCTCAACCCAAGCACACTACATCTAACAGATCACTAAGCATAGCATCATCCTATCTACCAGGATACAGATCTAACAGATCACCACAATACTCAATCATACGATAAACCAGGATAACAATCCAAAGGGTCGGCATTGGTGCCTTCGACCCGAGAGTATAGTGAGGACAACTCACCTCGCACTGCCGAATCCTACTGACGATCCTTGGTTGTTGGCTGACAGCTCCCCCGAACCGTCAACATCAAGACAACACCCCATCAACAGTTGATTCCACGAATAATCTCTGACTGCAGATCCGCTATAATCCACGCGCTATCAAATACCAAAATGACAACCCATCAACATCTAGCCATTGACTCACACTATGAGTCCAAATTAGGGTAAAAGACCTTTTTACTCTTCCTCGAGCTTGGCCCCAAAGCCAAGGCCCAACTAGATGACCAAATGCCCAAAATCCAAGAATAACATCTAAGGCCCAAATATGGCCCAATTTTTAAAATTGGGCCTAATTCCTTTCATGGACCTTTGCCCAAGAAGGCCCAACAAAATACAACAGCCCAACAATAAAAATCCAAGTGGCCCAACAAGGCCCAACACAGCCCAGCCCAAACTGAAGCCCAAAATGCATCAAGGCCCAAGTTTGTTGAGTACACGGGGCATACTCAGCCTGTACGCTTAGCGTACTACGTAGGAGGCTTGTACACGCAGCGTACTCACCAGGCCAAAGCCAACTTTCCAATTAAGCACTTAATCCAATAAGACTTGGATTCAAACTCAAATTTGACTTCTCCAATGTGGTTAATCACATAAAGTTGCCAACTTTATGTGCATGCATGGCTAAATGGGACTCTAGAGCTTAATACTTGACTTAATGCATGCATGGAGCCAAAACCACCATAAAGATCACATTTTTATGCCTTTGGGACACCTAAAACGTCCAGATCTAGTGTCCAACTCTTGGGGCAAGCTCAAACTCATAAATACAAACCAAAGGGATCAAAATGTGCCATAAACCACCCCAAACAAGATCTAACCAAAGAAATGCCAATATGAGGGCTTTTTACCTTCAATAGGTTGCAAAAGATGAGAAACTTATGGATCCATAAGCCCCACTCCAAAAGATGATTCTTCAACAAGCTCCAATCTTTTCAAGATGCTCAAAACACTCCAAGATTCCTCAAAAAGGCTTAAGAACTCCAAGATGGTGGCAAAGGGTCGAATATTAGGATTTAAGAGGCTTGGAGGCTGATAAGGGTCAGGGCTCAAGAAGAAAATTTGCTTAAATAGGGGTAAAACCCTAAAAATGAGGGTTTGAGGCTGAAGGGAGTACGCCCCGCGTACCCCTTAGTACGCTCGGCGTACTCAAGGGCCACCTGCGACCCACTTAATCAGTACGCCCCGCGTACTCGTCGAACCCTTTAAAACCCAAAACTTCATTTGGCCCTAACTCCTTCGATCTAAGTCCGTTTCCGACGAACTTTATATCCACGGAAATGTGACGAGAAGCCCTACACTTCTAATGACTCACCTTAGCCTTACGACTTCCCGAACAAAACCCAAAATTCATAAAGGTCCGAACTAACAAATTACGATTATGCCATTGGGCTCCGAAACACCATCGAACACTCGGATCACTTTAGACTTTAACACCCTCATCCAAAAATGGTCAAATCCTTTCTTCCCCGAGGCCCTAAGCTTTATGATAACTGATGATCGGACCGCAGCCCCGAAAAACGAAACGACTCGAAACCGGGTGTTACAAAGATAATATAATTTTCCTATTTAGTATTTTACCGATCTATGCCTCTTCTTGATTTATGATGAAATTTGAAGCTAGTGTTAAGTTGAAAATACCTATTCATCCTTTAACCCTACAATGGTCCGTGAACCTAAAGAAAATTCTTGTTACGAAGAATCCAACAGGGATGTTGACCAAGATGGTGCTTCAAATGAGTTAAAGTCGTGTATGGCTTCAACCGGTCCCACATACTTAAGAAGAAGGCACGTACTAGAGAGAGATGGAGATTATAAAGTTTCAATATGGACAACAACATAATCAACCTCCAAACGAGAAATTGTTAAAATTATGGAGACTAGTTCACAGTTTAATGGTATAGCCATTAGGCAAAGTTCACTTATTAGTATTTACATCCTTTGAGTTCGTGTAACGTGTATCACTGAAACCATTTAACAGAAATAATAAAACATCTTTCATATTCGTCGGTGAGTATAGCCGATTATATAAACCACATATTTCTCTCTCTCTGTTTCATTCTTTTCTTCCCTATAATGTTTTTGTTCTTCCTACCCTTTAGCTTCTTGCTATCTGGTACTCTGGGTGAGTTATAAGCAGTTTCCAAAAAGATATAAACCACATAAATTGTTTCTGTTATAATTTTAATTTTACAATATTACTCTCTATATGAAATTGTTTTATCGTTTGTTTGAAATGATTGAACCCAAAAGCTATATAAATTGTACTTTTGAAAAAGAAGGGCAAACAATACAAGAAAGTAGGAGATACGACATTACATTCATAAAGCATTATTAAACATCAAAACAACATATCTCATTATTTAGCTAGAATAGTCTGTTGCCATCGCAACTAAAACCCCTTGAAATTGATAATAACCAAGGAATTCCTGTTCTGGTTTAAAGCTTGGATGATCCTCTGGGATGATGAACGACTATATGATTATAGGCATTCAGGGTGAGAAAATCATCAAGTACAGGAGCAGTACATTGGCGTGTGAATAACTTGCAAGCCTCCTTATACATGCCCTTCTTAAACCTCTCCATCCCTACTTCACGTTCAATCCTCGCCATTTCTTCTTCAACCACCTTCCCAAAAAGCTCATGGGTCACCTTAACACCAACCCCATCGCCATCCAATTCCACTCCATATTTCAACCACTGCCAATTCTGAACACGACTAATTTCAGCAGTTGCAGCATCTTCCATCAGATTATAAAGCGGGACAGACCCTGTCCCTGTGAGCCAGGCCGCTACATACTGGATCCCAACCCGTGTGTTGAGCCTAAGACCTTCAATGGTTCGAACCCCTCTTGGAATCTGCAACAAATCTTCTTCCGTCAAACTTGCAGCATCTTCACGCTTCATGGTTTGGATTAGGTTTGGAGAGTTGTTCATGTTGTTGGTGAAGACCTCCATGATGGCTGGAATCAGGCCCGGATGGGCTGCCCATGTTCCATCGTGCCCTGCGCGTACCTCTCTTAGCTTATCTTTCTTCACTAGCTCAAGTGCTGCTGCATTCGCTTCTGGATCATCCCTAATCGGAATCTGTGCAGCCTGTTTATAAAGCATAAAGTCAAAATAAAATCAATTTGGGAATTTTATTGAAAAAACAACATACCATTCCTCCCATGGCGTGGACGCCACGCCTGTGGCATGTACGGATGAGAAGATCAGAGTAGCTTCTCATGAAATGTTGGCCCATACCGACTAGGACCCGGTCGGGTAACAAGCGGTCTGGGTGAGCCTGGAATGTTTTGACATAGCTGAATATGTAGTCCCATCTTCCACAGTTCAAACCAACCGAATGATCCCTTAACTCGTATAAAATCTCATCCATTTGGAAAACCGCCGGCAGCGTCTCGATTAGGACGGTTGCTCGGATGCTACCTTTCTCAATTCCCCCCATTTTCTCAGCACGTTCAAACACATTGTTCCATATCCTCGCTTCCCTGCCCACACAACTCCATTAGGAAACATCGCAAAACTAATGTTTCCGGTGACCAATCGGTGGTAAAGTTACCTGGAATTTTCCATTTTAGGGAGATAGAAGAAAGGCCCGTATCCTTCACCTTGTGTTTTACGGAATGCTGCGTGGTTGTGGTGGAAATAGAGGCCGAAATCAACGAGGCAACCGATTGCTGGTTCACCATCGATGAAGATGTGGGACTCAGGTAGGTGCCAGCCTCTGGGACGAACAAAGAGCTTGGCGATTTGATCATTGAGTTTGTATACCCTGTTTCTAGCTTTGTCCTGAAAGCTGATTGTGCCATTAACAGCATCCTTTAAGTTCACTTGTCCTTTCATTAGGTTCTCCCATGTTGGCGATAGTGCATCTTCAAAATCAGCCTGTTTTGTTTTCATTCATAAGGCTTGTTTAGTCATTAGTGTACGTTAGTTTATTAATTTCAGGGTTTGTTATTCTTAAGAATATGATAACATTTACTAATTCAAACAAGCTAGACTATACGTCTTCTACAAAACCCAACTTACAAACCCTACGTATTGATTTATATGTTAATTATTGAACGGATTATTTGTTATAACTCTCATGTTTAACTGAATCGGACAAGTTTAGTTTGTTTTTTTTTTTACGTATTGATTTATATGTTAATTATTGAACGGATTATTTGTTATAACTCACATGTTTAACTGAATCGGACAAGTTTAGTTTTTTTTTTTTTTTTCAAACGACAACTAACTAATCTACTCCTAAATAACCACCTATGTCTCCACCGAACCTATGTCTCCACCGAGACTTGAACCTCTGACTTCTACATAATGGCCCTTTTCGGACAAGTTTAGTTGGAAAATAAAATATTTATAATCTTTTGAGCCTCTTAAAAACCCACTGGTCCAATACTACTAACCCAATAGCCCAATACTAGTATTTAACTATAAACTATTAATTTAGACAAACTTTGTCATTTGTTTTTATTTAATCAAAGCAAAATTGCAAAATACTAGCAATAACAACTAATAACTATTTCGTTATGATCCCTGTTGGATGATCATGCAAAGTTGCAAACAAGCAAACTATCAAAAAAACAAAATGCATGAAATAGAAATCACTCACCATAACAACCTTAGCTCCAGAATTAAGTGCATTAATGATCATCTTCCTCTCCACCGGACCCGTTATCTCTACTCTCCGATCAGCCACCGCCGGCGGCACCTCCGCGCACATCCAATCCCCATCTCTTACGCTCTTCGTTGCTGGATCAAAACCTGGCAACCCACCGGAATTATACCGCATCTTAGCCTCTTTCCTACACTCCATTGCATACTTAACATGGTTCCTGAACTCTCTCTGTAAAGCAGCCACAAATATCAAAGCATCTTTCGTAAGAATCTTGGCAAACTCTTCGTCATATCTCCCTCTGATGTCTACTCCCTCCGGAACATCGTATCTGCCACCTACGCCGCCACCGGGGGTCTTTTTCATGGCGGTATCACCGTAATACCCCATACTCATTGCCATTTTTGGTGATACACAATTGGACTGTGTGTCGATAAAGTGTGTTTTTATATATAGTTGTTATGGGCTAGCGAAGTTTATAAAGAAAGTGTAGGTGTGAAGGGGATAAAGATGGAAATGGGTTGGGGGTGGATTTACGTGCGTAAGATAATAGAATGTGACGATAGTTGTTGTATTGTTGATAAGATTGGGGAATGGGAATGGGGATGATCGATCTTCTTGGGCTTTGGGCTCGATAAAATATTGCTTATAAGTTACAATTGCTAAAAAAAACTAGAGATCTCAAAACGGATCAGGTAATTTGGATGGAATAATTGTTTAATATGTTTTCTTAGAATGATAGAGGTATTAATGACTGTTAATAGATAATTTAGATTGAATAATTGTTTAATATGTTTTCTTAGAATGATAGATGTATTAATAACTGTTAATATATATTTTGGTCTAATATATAAATTTTGATTCAATGTCTTTGTATTAGTGTATTAGAGGGTAGACATCTTGTCCAATCTATATCAACTATAATAAATAAAGATAATTTTACCACATGTCAATCTCTAATGCTTGTCATTTTGTGATAATTTTTAAATAAATAATATTCACATGTCAATTTATGGTTTTTTCTAACTTTTAAAATTAAAAAGTCACATAATACTTAGAGTTATATATGTAAAGTATCAAATGTAATAAATATTATACTAAATTACAATTAATAAGTTTCTTTATTCCTTATTTTAAAATTTTATTATAAAAAATATTTATTATTTACATATTAATATATTATTTTTTTAATCAACTCGTGCAATAAACGAGTTTTACACCTAGTTAATTTTATAAATATTATAAAGATTATATGATTAAAACAATAATACTATTATCTTTTAATATGGTAATTTAAAAGGTATATATATTAAAAATATGTTTTGGAATCATTTTGGATAGTTTAATTTAGTTTTAATAAATAATTTTGTTTTATTAAATAGTTAGAAATATAGCGTAATTCAGTTTAATTCATACAAAAATAATATGAATATTAGACTGTGTGTAAAAGTCAAAAAAACCGATGACCACACTCGACTATTGTTTCCAATTTGCCTAGGGAAATGAACCTTGGATAAGCTAATAATTTACATTTGTCATTGGAACAAAGGGGAGCGGTGTCATGTCATCAATGTCGTCTCTATATTTTTATTTTTAAATTTTTTTTGTGGGTCGTTGCCATTCAATACTATCTTACATGGTCTTTTAGGAATACCAAAATCTGATAATACTCGAAAGAATTTGGATAAGAAACCTATCTATTCTGTCGTCTAGGAATTTCACCTTTTTTTTTGTAAACATGATATAGATTATTTATTGATTCGACATTAACATTATTACTAAAAGACTCTTTGCGTAAGTTCTTATAAATTATTATCTTTCATGAAACGGATACTTGTGTTTTTTATGTAATAAATAACATCATTTAACAAAGTCTATAATAAATAACATCATTTAACAAAGTCTATAATAAAAAATCATAAATATTGTAATTTTAAGATTATCTCTTTCGATGCACTACTCGACTCATCTACTTTGATACATCTAAAGGACTCATATACTTTTTATAGATAAAAAAAAAGTTAATAAAATGTGAATCGGAAGGTCATAGACTTCAATTCAAATGACCAACTATTGATAAATCGCTACAATTCGCTAAACAACTTTCATAACAATGTAATAGTGTAGTTTACAAAAATTATCAATTATAGCAATGTTTTAGATTTTTAATCATAGTTACAATTTAGTTTTAAAATGAAAGCTTAGTATAACAATATACAATTATGCACTATGTTATGTTCACAATAGCAACCTATAGTACAATAGATAATAATAACCATGTAAGAAATAATATTCCGGTAATGTACGAAAACAAACAAGAAAATAGAAAAACTGAGGCATGTGTTTAACACATTGTCCTTAAAACAAATTCGTCCGCTACCAGGTGTTTGTTTCCCAGGATACAACAGTTTGAAGTGGTTCTTCTAGACCACCCGAACCCTCATTAGGCATGGTTTATATCCTTAATATATCTAGAAAAAGAAGAAGATGAAGTGGGGAAGAAGAGAGTTTTCTTGCATTCTTTTGGTGTACTCAAATGGTTGTAGAGCAGTAGTATTTATACTACACATTCTATAACCTCTCATTTAAACACCTCTATTAATCACAAAGATTAATGTGTGTTAATGTGTAATTAAATTGTAATATTAATTACAATTTCAGTTACGAAAGAAAAAAATATTTGCAAGAAAGGTCCCTGGACTTTTCTTTTCTTTCTCCCACCCATTAAACTCTTTTATTTATGTCTTCCAACACTCTTACTTTAAGGATTAATTTATCATTCATATGAAATCTATTTTGGACGTGTTAAAAATGGGGAAAACCCATTTTTATAAATTAGTTAGCACCAATTTTCCAACAATCCCCCACATGAATGAAAATTGATCAAGCATTTTCAATCTACTTAGATAAAATCCAACAGTTGAATCATGCATAGGATAGGTAGGTGTTACCCTTTGAACTGTAACAACCTGTTTCAGATTGTCTGTGATTAGGGTTCGTGGGCTGCAAACCGGGCATGAGGAGGTCTCGGGGTTGCGACGAGTTGCTAGAAGCTTAGGGCATCTCGTCACCTTTCTGTGGGTTTGAGGTTCATGGGAATCGGGGTTATATCAAGGAAGCGATGGAAGTTTGACGTTATGGCAGGATAAGTCCCTTATTGGAGAAAGGTGGCAGCTGAGTACGCTGGGCGTACATATGAGTACGCTTAGTGTACTCATGTGCGTGATTTTCAAGCGGAGCCACCTAATACGCTGGGCGTACTAGGCCCAGAGTAAAAACCCTAATTTAGGGTGAGTCCCCTATATAAAGGATATGATGGCCTCATTTCTGGCCACCATTCTCGGACATCAAACCCTAAGTGTGCCCTAACCCTTGTTTTAGAGCTTGTGAGTGCATTTATGAGCCTTTGAGAGTGTTTGTATGTTCTTGAAGAGAAGAGAAATCTTTGGAGAAGAAGGAGTGGGAGCCCAAGCTCTTGGATCTAAGCAAATCTGAGTTGGGAGCTTCATATAGAGGTATAAAGCTTCAAACTTTACCACTCTTTTGTTATGTGCATCATAGATGAGACTTTTAGGGTTTTGTCCCAAAAAGGTGGAGACTTTATGAGATCTTGAGGTACAGAGGCGAGGACCAACCCCTTTTGAGTATATTAGTTGTTTAATGTCATAAAAATCCAATCTTGGTCGTTGGAATCAAGCCATGCATGTGTTATGAGCTTTTTGAGATAAGGGAGTGAGTGTTTTGGGTGTTTGTGACCTTTCCAGCCATGCAAAGGCTTAAAGTCACTGACTTTATGGAGTAAGAGCCATTAGGGAGTCCAGATCTGGGATTTGAGTTAATGTCTTAACTGATTAAGAGCAAAGGAGTAGAAAGTGTGAATCTGGGGAGTACGCTGAGCGTAATTCCTGTACGCCCCGCGTACTGCCCCAGTGTCCCCGTTGGCCAAATCTGGATTGTGAGTACGCTGAGCGTACCAAGGGAGGTACGCCCCGCATAACCTCACTGTGGACTTTTGGGCTAAGTCGCATTTTGGGCCTTGAGTGTTGGGCCTGGATTTTAGGCTTGTTGCAATAGAGTATTGGACCAGAGGAATATTTATATGTGTGCTTGGGCCCTTGAGTTGGGCTTGCCATTTATTTTTTAGAGTGGGCCTCGGGTGAGCCCATTTATTATTGGGCCTTGGTGGCCCCACTGGGTTTTAGGCTATTGATGGGCGGGTTAGTGGACTACCCTTAGACCTAATGAGTGAGAGTTTGGACTTAGTTCCTTATTGGGATAATTGTGGGTTTGGTACAGAGTTAGTGGCCGGTGCATAGCAGCAGCGTTTATAGGGGTTGTTCATCATCCGAGGTGAGTCTTCTCACAATACTTTACCTAGAGTGGTAATTTATGTGTGACCAGAGGGTCTTATGCGCTTGCTTGAGTTATGCATTTTCTGTGTGATATATGTGTTGTATGTTATATTATGTGATACATAGACTGGACCGGAGGGTCCAACGTACTATGAGACCGGAGGGTTCTCAACCAGACCGGACCAGAGGGTCCAACGAGCCATGGGACTGGAGGGTCCCAACCAGACCGGACCGGAGGGTCCAACGAGTCGTGGGACTGGAGGGTTCCACTGAGACACATTGACCGGAGGGTCTTACAGAGTTATAGCCTCGAGTGGCTAATATGTTGTATGTGGTATTTTGGGGAACTCACTAAGCTTCGTGCTTATAGTGTTATGTGATATGTGTTTCAGGTTCTTTTCAGGATCGCGGGAAGGCGCCGGCTTGATTGTACACACCAGAGAAAGAGTTATGTTTTGAGGATCCTGGATTCTTAATTAAATAATTATGGAGTTGTGTTTGTAAATTAACTAAATGAGATTTTGTGAACTGGGCTATGAGAATATTATGATTTTAAATAGAAAAATTTGTTTGAAAATTTACGGTGTTACATGAACCTTCCCTTAAGATACATATTTATTTTACTAGCAGACCAGTAGACTCGATGTCCTTGAACTGTTCTGCCGTTTGTGTAAATAATCAATATGTGTCTCACATGATTCTCCTTGACCTAGTTAGGTTCTCATTGATGTGTCCGTTATGGTCATGGACACTTGCCTGGTTCTGTAAGAGCTCTTAGGAATGTGCCCATACAATTCCATTTGAAGCGACCCCACTTCTCTCTCACATAGGTGATTCTATAATAATCATTAAAAGCTAATTCGTGATGATTTCCAATTTATCATCCATGACTATAAGCTTAACATGCATCACTGTTTGTTTTAGGAATGGGTTGGAGTTAACCCCCACAGTGATTCACAAATGTTATATGCAAGTATGTTGTCCCATTGAACCTAGATCTTGGGATCTCCAATCAACTAGGTTGGGTTTTCCTTTGCAATAACTTATTAATCTATGGGTTTTAGTCCCATTCCTCATAACAACCTCTCATTCTAAACATTTCGTTAGCGGATTCGCAATGTAGTCATTAAAGACAATTCATCTTGAGAGT